TTTGCAAAATAGTGTTGTATACACTTCTATATATTTAAACCCTCGATATCAAGTTTTATTGAGTATTGAGCAAAAACAAATGGCTAAAGACCATCTTAAGGATTTATGGCAAAGCAAAACTCCATTATTTACAATATATTGGATGCTACGACAATACCTATTGGTTGTAGTGAAAAAAATAATAATGATTGCAACATTGATGATTTTACATTTAGGAGAAAAAAAAGTCAAATTATCATCAGATAGAAAGGAGGATCAAAAAATTCTTCAATATTCCAGAATTATATATCTTATCTAGAATCATAAACACTAATTTCATAAAGATATCTATTTTAGGTAAGGGTAGAACGTGAATTTTCATCTTTAAAATATATATTGTCTACTTTACGTGGAAATCTCAAGAATGATATTTTAGAAGATATTATGCTTGTGCGAGAATAAAACATTTAAAATATAAATTATTACATTTTAAAATTTTTCATTTGTAAATTATGAATATGTATAAATTGAATAATAATAAATGATGAAAAAAAATCTTATTTTAAGTCATTATTTTTATGTTCCCTGGACCCGTGTCCTTTCAAATTTTATTCCTGTACCCGGATCTGGACCCTCATCTAAGGGTTCACATCCCTGGGGTTAATCCCTAATATCTTCTTTCTAGTGATGCCACTGATTCATATATTAATATAATTAATATTTGTGACATTAAAATTAATATTTGTGACGTTATAATATATTGCTTTAGTGTAGATTGATATTATATGACCAGCACTGTCCTACCAAATATTTAACAAAGAACTTGCAAAAATCCCTTTATTGTTCAATTTATTTTCTATTAATTAGCATAAAAATGATTCGATTGTGGTAGATTATTATAAAAAAATTTTAGTGGATTTGTCCCCAATTCCTAGTCTCCAGTGGGGAAAAAAAGGAAACAAATTTAGGCTAAAAAATACTAATTATGGATTTGTTTTTAAATACTTATGAAAATATAGATGGGATTTTTTCTAAAAAAACAATTTTTTATAATGAATGTTTTATCATCTTGAAATTTATACAAATTTGCTAATATGGTTTAGATAAGACATAACAAACTAAAAGAACAGGGGATTTAATTGAAAAGGGAAATTGAATTTCTTCTTTGGGGGGCATAATACATGATATTTGTCAGAGAAAATAAGGGTATTTCCATGACAAATCGACCAGTGATTTGAATGGCTAATTGTTAATAAAAACAAAATATTAGTGCTCTAGTTTAACAAGATCCAAAGATATTTGCCTTCAAAGTTGAAAATCGTTCAATGCAGGATTTCATTACATCTTGTTTTTTTAGACAGGGTTACAAATTTTACATCATTTTACAGCCCTTAAAATTTTACATTGAAAAATATATAAAAAATTAAATAATTCAAAGAGTTTTCTTATTTCTGGTAAAAATAAAAAAATTAATACTGTTAGGAAGGGATTTTTTGGGTTTGATATTCTCTAAAAATGTTTATTACCTTTATATTAATAACCATTTTTGTTTTTTTAATTAAATTAAAATCTTTACTATTTCTAAAATTTATATAGATGAAGTTATATTCAAAAATCATTATAAAAATATATTCAATAAAAATATAAATTGTATTGGTATTAAAATAAAAAAAAATCATTATAATTGTTATTAGGATACTATATTGTAAAATAAACATTTTAAAATTTTATATACAAATTATTATAAAAAATATCTAGATCATCTTTATCATATTTCACTTGGTACTTTTCAATGGTTTCCTGAGGCCATAATTTGTAGGTATATCCTGTCACGGTTGTGATCTACTATCATTGATATTTGGCGAAACTTGTGGGGTAAAAGAAGAATGTTGGTCCATGGGGTTGTAAAAAATAAATATATATCTCCTCAGTAATTTTATTCATTTTCAGTACTGTGGCTAACCACCAAAAATCATCATAAACATATGTATGGAAAAAAGATCGGTCCAGACCATAGTCCTAAATAAACGATCACATATATTTATGAAGATTTTTGGTGGTTAGCCACAGTAATAAAAAAAATGAAATGAATTATAGATATATATTTCTATTTTACATTCCCATGGACCATCAACATCCTTCTTTTACCCCACGATTGAGGAAAAAAGATGGCTGCCCACTAATCAAATAGAGTGTTGTCAGATTTAATAGAAAACATTTCCATATTTTTTAATTCTTTGTAAATAAAGTTATTTAACTTGTAAAAATTTATAAGAATATATAAATGTTATTGTAACAATTCCTTGCAACTTGATTAATTTTATTTGCAAATAAATTAAAAAATATGAAAATGTTTTGTATCAAATCACAACACTAATAACGATAGTAGATCCAATAACAGCGACAGGACTTACTTACAAATTATCTCTTCAGGTAATGCTTAATTATCGTAAAAATGAAAACGCTAAAAACAAAAGGTATTTTTTTTAAAATATGTTTATTTTACAATATAGCACTCTAATAATAATCATATCTGTATGGGCTGCTTGCTTACATATTTCCCCAGGACGTCATATTGGTTATGCTCAATGGATTTAAATTTTTTTTAATACAATACAATTCATATTTTTATTAAACTAGTAGATAGCCCGTCAAAAATGACGGTGAATGAGATATTCGTTTTTTTAAGAAAGATACCTTTTATTTAAAAATCATATCCAATTTATATTATTTTTAACCCCCCTCCCTCCCCATTTAGGTCAAGTCCAACCAATGTCATTGAGTCCAACCCATTAGGACTAAGAGTGGAAACTATTTTTTGAGTCAAAATATATTTAAATGAGCTTTTACCCAATATCAAAATTATTTGTAAATATATTACTGATTACATAAGACTAACATTTAACATTAAAAAATTTCAAGCCAGGTCCAAGCTCATAATATTTGGAAAAAATTTCCGAGCGTCCAAGACCTTATAATTTTTTAAAAAAATTCTCAAGCCTAGCTCAACCCATAATTTTGAAAATTTTTTCCTAGCCCGGCCCATAATAATTTGTAAAAGATATTCCCAAGTCAGGTGCAAGCAAATATTAATCTTGAGGAATATTTTCCAAGCCCAGTCTAATATTAATTTTCAAAACTTTTTCCCAAACCCGGAGATAGTTAAATTTCTAAATAATTTATCATCACATGAAGGGGAAATCTCGGATTTACCAATTAGTGGGTTAACTCCTTTTATCAAAAAATTTGATAAGGGCTATCTATATCTTTATGTTAAGTACAAAAAATGCTATCTATTTAAATTACAAAAATGCCATTCAATACTAATGAAACTTATATGCAATTTATTTATATATTTTTTAAGAAATTTGTTTTTCTTGCCATATAAATTTAGGTAATTTTTTAAAAAAATGATGAGGATTAATTATTATTTTGTGTGTGTGATAAAATTAAGAGCAAATCCTTTATGACATTTTAATTTTTGATGGAAAAAGCGACAAAATAAATCTGGGCAGTCGTCTGCAGAGGAAATAATTAATGTAAAATATCATCATATTTAAGGTTGTAGGTGAAAGTAATGAATAATGACGAATTACCAAAGCAGTGTACAACACCCATTGCGTCCTGATAAAGCTGAGGCCTTGGGCTACTGGTAAAAGAAGAACGCAAAATGATATTTCTGCCAAAGTGTCAGTCTTGGTATACCCCTCTAAAATAGAATCATGAACGACATTGTCAACTCAACCATAAAACGGTCGTAAGTATTTAAAGGCCATGACAAAACTACCGCATATTTTCCCATTAATAATGTTAATGAAATTGGCCGCACTACACATCGTTTGAAAATCCCTCTAAATATTCATGAAAGTTCCTTAGGGAATCGGATAAAACATTATTTATATAATACCTAGTGAGGTGAATGATAGTGGAATTAAATGCTTATATTTGTTAAAAATTAGGCAGAGGTGGCATATGGATTGTGGTAGTGGTGATAGAAATATTATTTGGAGGCAACTGGGTGAATATAAAATAAACATATAGATATAAAACATTAGATAAAAAACAAAATAAACCTCCAGAGGAGTTCACAGTTCCTTATTATCTTGGCCACCAGTAACTGGTAAGGCTTTTGTTGAATCGCCATTTTTTTCTTTGCTTATCTTTAATAATAGATTCATCATGTTTTGTAACAATGTGAGGGATTAAGATTGGGTTAGCCTAGACAAATAAAGAAATCAGCCACAAATATAAATAAACTATTGTTGAAATTAAACAAACATTAATATACTGTAAACCTGTAGAGGAGTCAATATTAGAAGTATATTTCTAGTAGTTGAGGGCTATAGTCAAAAAATTTTTTTTGGAGAGTTATCAAGCCTATCATGTTCTTCTAAAGATTTATTTTGCATTTGTTCATTATTAATGACTGATATATCAATATTTTAACAATTATAAAGAGAAAATAAGATGGGGATAGTTAACTAAAGTAAAAACAAAACAATTCTCAAGTTAATTTTATAAGGTAGGATTAAAATATAATACCATTCGGAGAGTCCAATTGGCAAATTAAAAAAAAATAGGAACCTTGTGAATAGATATAGAATAATTTAAATAATATAAATACCATAGTATGTATTTTGTTTTGGAATAAATGTAAAATCCTAAAGATAGAAAACCCCGTTTTGTCTTTTTTATTGAGTTATACAAAAAAAATTAGTAAGAATAAAAAGGAGTATTGTTAAAAAGGTAAGGATCCTTAAGAATAAATATATAATTTTAATTGAATAAAAAAAATATTGTAATATATATATCGATTTTTTGGATAGATATAAAAAATTATTTATAATAAAAATAATGTACTTATTTTTTGGTGAGTTATACAAAATAATCAGCATGGAGAATAAAGCAATTGTGGATCTGACAAAAGGCAAGCTTTTAAAAAGGTAGGATCCTTAAAAATTGATATATTAATTTAGTTAAATACTAAAAATAATGTACTTTGGATATTTTTCTGTTAGTTTGACAAACTATTCATCAGAGATAAAAGGACATATTGTGCAGCCCGGCAAAATGGATAGCTTTAAAAATACGTAGGATGTTTAAAATAGATATATAAATTTATTTAAATTATAAAAAATATCATACTAAGTATTGTAAATGGAAAGAAAATAGGGAAATTAAAAGGGAAAGGAAGCTAAAGAGAAAGAAATAGGAAATTAAAAATTTTGAGAAAGGCGAAGATAATAAAAGAAATTAAAAGGGAAGGAAAGGAAAATAGAATAGTTTTTTTAAATTTTTTATCAGGCTGATTTTTCACATATTATTTGAGACTATTGTTATAATAATTAATGTTAGTGACATCTTCAATAATGATATATATGTTGTTGGTGTAGCATAGTCAGTCTACATTTTGTAGGTTACTGGTATTTGTGATGTCACTAATTAGTAGATTGATAATGGGGGGTGGCACATCCTTGTTTTATACCACATTTTTGTTTAAAAAAAGGTAGGGTTAATCTTTTGTGTTTTGAAACTATTTTCATAAATATTTATAATAATTTTGAATGTGTATAGCTGAAATGGGTAAGTTTAAATTATTGATGTTATACTTTTTGTAAACTAAGGGTGTATGATGATTGTTTGATTTGTAAAAACTCATTTTTATAAATTAAAAATATTTACCCTTAATTTGCTTTTCTTCTCAAAATCTGAATTAATAATTGAATGATATTTATTTTTTGATATCAACCCTTGTAAAAACTCATTTTAATAAATAAAAAATAATAATTTACCAGGAAAATAGTTGCTTAATCAGCATCTGTACAATTATTAAGAGAGGTGAAGACAGGGCTTGTTATCTAAAATAAAAGCATAAGAATAATTTTAAAAATATTAATGTATTAAACCTGCAGAGGAATCAATATTAGGTTCAACTCTCTAGAAAGAGTGGGAATATCATCATAAGTTAAAATTGATGTATTCTAAATGTAAAAAAATATAAGCATTTATAATTTAATTTACTTGAAATAATTGAATGATATTTATTTTTTGATATTAGCCATTGTAAAAACTCATTTTTTGGAAAATAAGGGTATATGATTGTTTGATTTGTAAAAACTCATTTTTATAAATAAAAAATATTATTTACCCTTTCTTCTCAAAATGAATATGGGTTGAATTAATAATTGAATGATATTTAATTTTTGATATCATAAATTAAAAATATTATTTACCAGATTATAGTTGCTTTTTATTTGAGTCTTGCTTTCTTGGATTTTCTTCTCAAAATATTTCACCTATAAAAAAAGTAAAAAATAAATTTTTTTATAAATTATAAATATTACTTACCAGGATATAATAGTTGCTATTTATTTGAGTTTTGCTTTTATAAAAAATAAATAAATTAATAAAAATAATTAAATACGTAACGATGACATGACGTAGCGATGACATGACGTCACAATGACGTAGTGAGGACATCGGAAAATTATAATATAGATATATTATTATATTATAATGATTTTTGAATTTAACGCCATCTGTATTATTATTTTTTATTTATAGAAATAATAAAAAATTTAATAAAATTAAAAAAACAAAAATGGTTATCAAGATTTCTATTAAATAGTTTAATATAAAGGTAATAACCATTTTAAGAGAATATCAACACCCAAAAAATTGCTTCCTATTATAATTTTTTTCGATTTTTTTCAATGTAAAATTTTAAGGGCTAAAAAATTTTATATAACTTGTAACTCTATCTAACTATTTTTTTTAAAAAAAACAAGATTTAATAAAATCTCGCATTGGACGATTTTCGACTTTGAAGGCGTATATGTTTGGATTTCGTTGAGCTAACTCTAAAATTTTGATTTTACTAAAATATACAACTTAGATAACCGTCGCCAAATTTATTCATTTTAGAGATGGTTTGTCCGAAAATCTCGTTTTTTGGTCCATTTGACTTGGAATGACCCATTAATTTTTTTAAATATACCCGGGCTGGGCCAAATGCTATTCTATAAAAATTAAAAATCCCGGGTCTAAAAATATAAAACCTGGGCTGGGTTGAAAATTTTTTTAAGATATAAATTTGAGCCGGGCCGTACAAATGGTATGCCTCTGCAGATCTCTAATATTTAGAATAAAAATATTTATAAACATGATTATTTTGAAAAATCAGAATGTTAGAGGTTTTATTATAGTTTTTATTCATGGTTGTGAACTCAAGTAAATTAAATTTTGAACTTGTGTCTTTTTTTCTACACAAAAAAATATTATATTTGGAAAAAATTTTTTTTATTAGGCATTTATATGCTAATCTTCATTTTATAAAATATTTAACATAATAAAAATAATTATTATATTATGTTTATAACAACTTTATAAATAAATATTTGCCCACTTATTTACCCATAATAATTTAATAAGTTTTTTTTACTTACTAAACAACTTTATAAACATTTAATTGCCTGTAAGGTTGTTAAAAAGCCCTATTCAGGTCGATTTTTAAAAACGACCCGACTAAGTTAGCCAAAATAATATTATGTAAGCCTGAAGATTTGACTCATAGATGGCAGAAAGGGTTGGACCTCTGAAAAATACATATTTTTTATATATAAATAAAATAAAAAATTAACCAATCATAAACAAATATAACCAATCCCTTATTAATATTTAAAATAAATAATAAAAAAATATACCACCCGAAATAGACAACAAAATTTGTATATATTTTTTTTAATATAATTTTTATTATATCTTTTTTTGTTTTTTTTAAATATTTTTTATTTTAATATCGTTTATATTTTATTTAATTTTTAAATTGAAACCGTTTTCTTTAAAATAAATAATCGATTCCCATTTTTTGATTTTACTTTGTATTTAATTTTATTACCTTGTGGAATAAATGAAGGAATAATTTATAAACAGGCATTTAATTTTACATATTAAGCTCTCATCTAAAGTTATATCATGGTAAACGCCTGTTGCCATGCGTGCTTAAAAATAATTTCGCTTAATTTGAATGGCACTTTTAGGAAACATTGTTCACCCTTCTGCCTTAATTCTGGGAAATTCCCCCTCCTTTCCCTCCCAGATCCTTCTATTATATCTCCTCACTCGTGTGACCCCAGTTCTGATTGTCGTCCCTAACTCTGTTGATTTATTCCTTATTTCACATAAGCCCCCAGTTTTACCTAGGATCCCTATAACAGCTCGAGAATCGATTTCAAAGTTCCTCACGTCTCTTATAAAAAATGAATTTTGATTTCTCCTCAACACCCTTATGATTAGACCTGAGTTTTTGTTTTCAAGTCCTAGTTAAACCCAAAAATAGAATAAATAATATATCTGCCTCAATTAAGGAGAAAGTGTCCAATTTTGGAAATACCATTATTGATGATTTTACCATTTAACTCTTTAATCCTACTCCTTCCGCTATAAATTGATCTCTGAAAAATTAGATCTTGGTGATATAAGCGGTAATGTCCGAATTTTGACTTCTGATGATACTATTTCCACCATCAACGCTTCTACTTTTTAACAGCTTCTTGAAAAACATCCACCGGCGTCCCCTTTTAACATTCACCCGCTAGGCTCTTCTCCTACTCCCTTTACCTGTGATGAAGTTCTAAGTGCTTGAAGTCCTTTAAAAAATGGACGACAGATGTTGTAGACGGGTATAGACCAGGTTTTTTTGTTGATTTAATCCAATGCTTTGAAAGTGGTTTTATTGACCCTTTACTAAAATCATTAACCGAACTTTGTAATTATCCTTATACACCAAGTTCATATTTGTATACGCCATTTTCTTTTTGGTGCACGTCTTGTTTCTTTAACCAAACTGGAGGTGGTATTAGACCCATAGCTATAGGATCATTTTTTCGTCGATAGTCGCAAAGGTTATTGTAAATAGGATCAGGTCTAAGGCCAGTTCCCTCTTTCCCTCATACTTAGGTTTTGGAGTTAGAGGTGGGTGCGAAGTGGCCTTGCATGTAGCTCTTATTATTGTAAACATTGAGGCGAAGTTTTCTGCAAGTTGAACTTCAGAAATGCTTTCAACACCATTCACAGGAGTTCATTTTTACCCTCCTTCCTACATCATTTTCCTAAATATTGGAATTTCCTTAATTTCTGTTATGGATTTCCCTCGTTACTCAAATTTAGGAAATTTTCCATATCCTCCGAAGAGGGGATTCAGTAAGGTGACCCACTTCACCATAGGTACCCATGATTTGATCAAGAATTTTAAGTCTGATTTCAAATTAGACCTTAATTTATAGTACCTCGACGATGGCTCTTTTGGCGGATCTTTACTCAATGTTTTGTAGGCCATCGAGTACGTTGAAATGGAAGCTTCGAAAATTGGTCTTTCCTTAAATAGAAAAAAATGTGAGATATCTTCCCTCAATAATAAGGGTTTTATCCCTCCCCTAGATTTTAAAATCATTCTATATGAGGAACTTTGTCTTTTAGGCTCTCCTATCGGCTTCTCAACTTGCTTTTGTTAGAACTTTTATGACAATTTTATTCAATCTCCTTTTAATTCGCTTAAGAATTTTTCTTACCTTCCTAAACATCAGTTTTTTTTCCTCACCAAAAAATGTTTGTTCTTACCTAAATTCGTTGATCTTTAAATCTTCTCCTGCTTTCCAATACTATTCCCTCCTGAAGTCCTTCGAATTAAAATTTAAACACTTTATCGAATCCCTATTAGTCCTAAAGTTTTCCGATTTTAATTGATTATTTGCCTCTATGCCTTCTTCCGGGGAGGACTTGGATTTTCATCCCCCTCTTTAATGGCAATTGCCTGTTTTCTTTCGTCTCAAATATCCTTTAACGACTTGATATCCTCGCTTATTGAGTTGAACGATCCCCTTTTAACTTCAGCCAAACAATCTTGGCTTAATCTTGTTCTCCAAGGATCCGGGCAGCCAGTTTTCAATTATCTAAAGAGCTTTCTGGGCCCTATGCTTCAATGTGCGTTTGAAAAACTTTGTTTGTGTCCAGATCTAACTAATCAGAAACGCAAAAAAAAAATTCCAACGGCCATGAATGGCTAGACGCGATTCCGAGTGGAAAAAAGGAAACGTTACTCATAAACGATGAGTTTCAAATTGTCATTTGCCATAGGTTTGGTTGCCTTATCCCTTCTATTGACACCTGTCCTGCCTGTAAAAAGCAGGTGGATCCATTCTCTAGACATTGTTTTTCTTGTCAGCCGTTTTATGAGACACGACAACCTAAATAGGTTAATCAGCAAATCTTTGATTTCAGCCGGTTTCCCGAATAGCTTGGAACCGTTAGGTCTCCTACATGAGAACGGTAAGCGTAAGCGTCCTGTCTCTGACATCTTAGCACTGCAGCATAAGATTGTCTGGGATGTCTCATGTGTTATCTCATTTCCGGCTAACAGAAACACTGACCCCTTGGAACTTCAAGAAGTCAATAAATATAGGTCTCTTCTTAATTCTTTTATTTTTATTCCTTTAATTTTTAGCGTATTGGGAAATCCCGGTCCCCAATTTCTAAAATTTTTAAATCAATTGGGTAGAAAAATTTCAATAAGGACAGGGGTTAAAAACGAGTCACTATTCCTCAAACAAAAAATTCAATTCGAAATCTTAAAAGGGAACTAAAAGTGTTTCTTCGAAACTCTCCCTTTTTCCTCCTTGTTCTTCATTATTTTTTTTATATTACTGTTATATATATTTTTTATTATCAATCATGTATTATTATTATAGACAAGTTATTATCACAAAATTTTGAAAAATTATATTAACATTATTACTTTTTTTGCTATTGTTTTATTATATTTTATAAAATTAAGGTATACAATACAAATATGAAGAATGTAGAAAAATCAAATTTTTTTTTATTGATTATAACAGTTATATAAATTTTAAGTATAATCATCTAGGATGAGACTACTCATGAAGCTAATGTAATTAGC